ACTGGGAAGAGGTAACTATGGGGAGGAAGTGGGAGGGGAGCTGTTGCATTGTGGTAAACTGTGGTCAATGACATGAGACAAAGTATATGTGAACTCCTGTATGGAGAGTGAATTTGCTCTGTAAATCTTCACCCAAATAAAAATAAATTAATTAATTAATCAAAAAAAAAAGAAGAAGGCTAAAAGTCCAAGTTCAAAATGCCAGCTTTAGGGACTTGGTGAAAGTCCCTCAGTCTTGGGCTTTAGCTCTGCCTCTTGCTCCCAGCCCATTGCACCTGAAGGCTTCTCTTAACTCAGACAGTTGCTGGCTGCAGAAGCTGACAAACCCAAGGTCGACAATAAAATAACACACTCCCAAGATAATCAAGCAATACAGCAGGCCAGTAGTTCAAGTCCAGAAATAGTATCAAGATCGGCAAACAACATGGCAGGCCACTGAGATGAAGACTTGGCCAGATGAAAGATCCACATGTGCTAAAAAGCTCAGAGACCTTCTTTAAAGCTTCTTTTTATGTACTGGAAGCAGACCACATCCCTAAGGCTGCTACTCAGCTGCTCACATAGACTCCACTATGCAGTTGATTGCCAGTTTCATCATAGGGAATACTAACTACATCCTGCTGCCCAGCCACTCAAAACCAGGCCCAGCAAAGGTGACACATAATCTTAACTACCACAATTCCACCCTTTGTCAACTTGACACCCATACAAATCTCCTTCATTGGGTGGCCTGAGTATCCTAGACCATCTGAGTGGTGACCTCACTCGTTGGCCTGGCAGGCCCCATTCATCTGTCCCTTGGGCATAGTAGCCCCACCCCCTCAATTTTAGGCAGTGGCTATGGCCCTATCTCCTTGGCCTTCATGAATAACAGCCCCACACTCCAAAACCAAGTTGGTTAAGATCTGACTCTTTGAAACCTAGAAGGCTGTGGTGATTCCATCCCCAAAGGCCATGATCTTACACTTGGGGGCTGGGACAGCTCTGCTTCCCATTTCCTTGGTCTTTCAGCTTCTGTCAATTAATGCCTGAAAGCAATCCACTCCACCTGGAAGCTTCCTGCCCAAATCCATTCAGCTTGCTCACTCTGTGGACTGGTAAGCCTATGTCTCATGCTGGTCTCTTGGTTTTGCTATCACTGTCTCTCTGCAAGATCTCTCTGCTGGGTCTCTCATCCTTGTTTCAGTGCAGGGATCTCGGGTCCAAGGATGCACTCCACTCCTGTTTACATATTTTAGGTATCTATCAGAGTAGCACCCCACTCTCCATACCAAGTCTGTTTTGGTTCTCTAGTGCTGCTGTAACAAGCATACCACAAAGGTATGGCTTTAACAAACAGGGATTTATTCTCTTACAGTTTAGGAATCTAGAAGTCCTAGTTCAAAGTGCTGACTCTAGGGGATGGGTGAAGGCCCCTTGGCCTTGGGCTTCAGCTCTGCCTCTTGCTCCCAGCCCACTGGATCTGGAGGCATCTCTTAATTCAGGCAGCTGCTGGCTGCTGAGGCTTACAAACTCAAGGTTGACAAATAAAATGGGATAGTACCAAGATTAGCGGGAGCTCTGGTAGCATAGTGGCTAAGACACTTGCCTGCTAACCAGACGGCTGGCGGTTCAAACCCACCAGCCACTCCTCGGAAGGAAGGTTGGGCAATCCTACTTCCGTAGTGATACTGCCTCGGAAACCCAAGGAGGGGTCGCTATGAGTCGGGGCCGACTCGACGGCACATAACAACAACAACAACAACCAAGATTAGCAGACATATGGCAGGCCACTGGTTCAAGGAACAATTGCAAGACCAGCAGATAACATGGCAGGCTACTGAATGAAGACTTGCTTATATGCAGGGCCCAAGAGTGCCAAAAAGCTAGAGAATTTCCTCAAAGCTGCTTCTTATATACTGGAAGCAGACCACATCCCTAAGGCAGCTACTCAGCTACACACAGTAGATTCCACCATGGAGATGATTGCCAGTCTCATCATGGAGAATAACTATATCCAGCTGCACAGTCACTCAAACCAGCCCAGCCAAGTTGACATACAACCTTAACTACCACACTTGATTTCCTCATTTGCATAATGGGAATAATAACCTGCCCATTCACAAGGCATGAGATAAAGCATATTATGAACAACTGTAAGGTAAGCATTCAATCCAAAGTAAAATAAATTTAGAGCCCTTTTTCTTCTCCTGAAGAATGAAAAAACCTAGGCAAAAAAGGAGAATTCATGGAAACATGTATTCATGGAAAGATTACCTCTTAGACCACAAAGTTTACACATGGCCACAAACACTGTTCATTCCATTTCAATATTCCAGATCCCTGCTTTATATGCTCTTTTCAAGTAATCTAACTTTTTCTTCTCTGGAGAAAGAACACAGAGCTCCATCTAATCGCCCCTGGGCTGAAAGAGAACAGAGGACATTGGGTGACCTGATATCCATCCATGGTAGCAGTGGCATTGCTCATAGGCATGCTTCCCAGGACGGTAAATGCAGATGTCTGAATCTTTAGGACAATGGAGCAAGAATTTTGGTTCTCTAGTGCTGCTATAACAGACATACCACAAATGTATGGCTTTAACAAACAGGAATTTATTCTCTTACAGTTTAGGAGTCTAGAAGTCCTAGTTCAAAGTGCTATTAGGACAGTGGAGCAAGGGTATGCCTGATTCAAGAACCTTGTGTGTAGGGAGGTGTCTCCACGGCACTGAGAGCCCCAGCTCTGGGACAAATGACCATGGAGTGGCTGAGCAACCAATGTTGACCCTGGATCTCAGAGAGTCACTGAGGGCTCTGCTGTTTGAAAGCAATCTCAGATTGCTGCAGTGATGGGGAGAGAGCCTGGGGACAGGTGCTGGGGAAGAAGAGCCTCCAAGCCTCAATGATGTTCATAAGTTACTTGAGGCTGAGTACAGTAGTTTGGAAACTCCAGCTCTCCATCTGCCCATCATGACACAGTAGCCATAGACAAATTATCAGTCCATCCACCTGAGTCCCTTCCACAAACTTCTCTGGATTCATGCCACCCCTATGTGATCACTTTTCCCTTTCCAGGTTCCCCTAAATGTTCATTTATCACTTAATTTCACTCAAATCAACTAGTGGAGACAACAGAAAGCAAAAAAAAAAAAAAAAAAGCCTGGTCTATTATTCCTCCTTCACCCTGCACACACTCAGGAACATACCTTTTCTCTACTCCCCATTCCCAAGAAAGGCTCAGATTGAAGCAGGTATGCTAACAGCATCCTATAACCCTCCATGAGCTTCACAGTCCTCTTTTGGTTGTCCTTCCTGTCATTTTTCTCCCTTTGCTCTATCTCTTTCATGCTACTTCCACCTTGGCTGTCTACTTGTCCTCATGCCCTTCTCCTTATGGTTGTCTGCCAACACCTCTCACACAAGTGTTGTTTAAGCTCAAACTCAGATGTCCCAGAAGCCACACACATAATGTCAATGAGTGCCTGGGACATTAGAGGGTTGAGTGGGCCTGAAGGGGACAGCCTCCTCTCCCTTTCAACAGATGTGGACTGGGGCTTGCAAGGGTTACCATGCATATATTATTTTATATTTTTATGCTATGTTGTGTTATTTCAAGAAGTCAAAAATCCACATTCTCATATGAAATTGACAAAGTATCAATTCTGGCTAAATAATTCATAACAATAATAATAAAATACTGTGAAGTCAAAAAACAAATGTCTAAGGTTCACTCCAACAGTCTCCCATTTGAAGCTCTGGCTTAAATCCATGTTATAACCATCTTAGTCATCTAGTGCTGCTGTGACAGAAATACCACAAGTAGAGGCTTTAACAGACAGAAATTGATTCCATTGCAGATTACGAAGCTAGAAGTACGAGTTCTGAGTGCCAGCTCTAAGGGAAGACTTCCTCTCTCTGGGTCTTTTGTTCCTAGATGGGTCCCAGTACAGGGACCCTGGGTCCAAAGGACACATTCCATTTCTGGCTCCTCTTTCTTGGTGAAAGTAGGTCCCCTTCTCTGCTCCTGTCTCTCTCCTTTTATCTCTTGGAAGATAAAAGGTGTTACAGGCCACATCCCAGGGAAGCTCTCCTAACACCAGATCAGGGCTGTGATGGGACTAAGGGTATTACAACCCACCCTTAGTCTTAATTCTTTTACACATCATGGGATATCATCACATATCTGCCACATTACATCATTACATAACTTCTAAACCACTAGCCATGTTCACACAAATTTGAAGGAGACGTAGTCCATGACAATGACCTTCCAGATAAAGGGACTGTGGAGAAGTGAGCTAGTACAGTGGAATATCAATACCTCTCCTATTTTATAACAATTATGGACGAGATGACACCAACTTTACTAACCTGAAGTGAAATTTATAGATAATTTAATCTATTACATACACAATTTTAAAATCTAATATAATGCTCTAATTTTGATTCAAAGGGAAAATAAAAGAAAGTCACTTATAATAAAATTATGTCCATTTTGAGATGAAAATACTCAAACACAACTACACTAAAAGCACAAGCTTTTCAGAACTCCCTCCAAGGTGGTACCAAGTTGGTACCTCCAAGGTACATACCAACCATGTTTAGATTCTTTCTTCCAAAATGACCAGGGTCTGTCCTTGAGATTTTCCACCACGTCCCCCCTACCCCGCCCCTTACCCTTTGTAGTGAGAGCTGCAACTTGACAATTACCTTTAATTTATCTTTAACTTTGGTTTGCACATCCTTTAGTCCTGGCCAAGAAGCAGAAGAATCATTCCAAAGTTATCTCATCCCTTTGGACATTTCTCCTCCTAGCATTTCTCCCCCATTTCCTGGTCCCTATCCCTTCCTGCTAGCCACTCCTCGGAAGGAAGGTTGGGCAATCCTACTTCCGTAGTGATACTGCCTCGGAAACCCAAGGAGGGGTCGCTATGAGTCGGGGCCGACTCGACGGCACATAACAACAACAACAACATCCCTTCCTGGGTACCCAATCTCTTTTGAGGGACAGATGAATGGTAGAAACATAGGATTAGCATTTTTCCCTTCTCCCAGTCAGTGATTTAAATTAAAGGCATAAACAGAGATAAGATTTTGCTAACATCACTAATTGCTTTTTAGTATTCAATTTATTCTTGGAGGATTAAACCCACTCTCAATATAAATTCATTATGGATATTTCTCTGCTGCTTATTAGTTCCTTATGTTTCTATGCTTTACTAAGCAAAAAAGGCTGTTTCCGTTCCTTTTTAAATCCTCTACGATTAATTTTTCTAAAGTGGAGTTTTAATGTAAGTTATGGGTTTAAATAACAAAGACTTGCTGGCAATGTTCTGTTGATTTCATGGTTTATAAATTATTCTCACCTTCATAAAAATCATAGGTACACATTGTATTTTCAATGAAAGTTGCAAAGTTGGAGGTTTCTTTGCTACAGTTGAATAGCTTCTCAGCCAGGTCCTTGTCAAGTTCAGTACTTTGGGTGACAATGTTGTCCAAGATTACATGTTCAAACTGAGGCTTAAAAAAGGAGTCTACAGCTGTGCCTGTTACAACAGACCCTGGCTCAATCCCTGCAATGTCGAAATAAATGAAGTGATTACAGATGCATGCCATTTAGAGTTTACTTTTGACACATAGCATGCAACTTATTCTGCCAACAGTAATTAATGCTAGTTGCTAATGATTCTTCCTATTTTCATCTTTAAAATTATTTTCTTTTCCAAATGCAATTAAATAGTAACATTCTGAACAGGCATTTACATTTGCTGTCTTTCCAGATTCGCATTTACAATGTGATGAGGTTTAGATTTCAAGACAAACATGACTCTTGGACATGCAAATTAGTACTGGCCTTCGGGGCCCAAATTTGAATAAATTAGGTCAGGAATAAACTAGATGAGCCTGCCAGCAAGTAGCTTTCATAAAGTGATGTGACTACTTGATATTTAATCTTCTCTGCAACTCCTTGATTACTATAATTTCTTTGCAACTTTATCCTTTCTTCCTCCTGATTCTCCTCACATATTCCCTCTCTCCCTGACTTTATGCAAATTAGGCCTGCTGGCTGACCTTCCATTGCTACAAGTCTGGCTTGCTCATGGGTTTAGGCTTTCTACCAACTGTTATTCTCCCTGCCTGGACTGCTCTCTCATCCTCCCCAACCTCCTTTCATCTGACTAGCACAAATTCATCCTTGAAGGGTCAGTCTAAGTCACTTTCTTTTAACAGGGCTGAATACTGCAAAAGAAACCATATGGCCTGCAAAGCCTAAAATGTTTACTATTAGCCCTTTTACAGAAAAAGTTTGTCAACTGCTTACACAGAGCATAAAAGGAGCTCCGGTTGTGTAGTGGGTAATGCATTTGGCTGCCAACCAGAAGGTCAGCAGTTCAAACTCACCAATTGCTCTGCTGAAGGAAGATGAGGCAATCTACTTCAGTAAAGATTTACAGCCTTGGAAACCGAATGGGGGTTGCTGAGTTGGAATCGACTCGGTGGCAGTGAGTTTGGTATTTTTTAGTTTTACATATAGCATAGCCAGATCCTACTAGGCAGTATAAATTCAATATCAATCACAGTAGACTTAATTACAGAACACTCTAGAAGAACAATCTAGAAACTCAAAGTGATCTCTGATTATAATGGGTCAGTCTTTTTAAATAAGTCAAATAAGTGGCTCCTTGAATTGTTTGAAATGTCTTGAGAATAGGAAAACAATTGATAAGGAAGTTGAAAAATATATGCATCAAAGGTGATATTACTCACATGCCATCTTAATACTTAAACACATTCTGGAATTTATGTCATAGTTGAAGTATCTCAAATGCCAAACTATTTAACCATGTACTTTATTCTCATTGAGTTATGTTGGTTCATCTAAAGAGTAGTAATGTCAGCAAAGAAAGAAGTAGTACGCCTTTCATCCCCAAGTGCAATGCTGCTTAACAAAAAATAAACACATCTTATTGATAAGCTAAGAGTTATTAATCAGGACAAAATTTCAAAACAAAGGTGTCCACATGAACAGAGTGGTTTAATTTCCACCACACATAGATAGGCCTTCACTGTACTTCATGTATAAATCTTAATGCCATGAAACAAAAGATCTGGAATCTAATGAGCTATATATATAGATGGTCATAGAATCCTTTGTCCATGCTGGGCCTTCATAATATCAAGGGGCAACTACAGAAGTGAAGATGGTCCACTGCTTGTATATGGGCTATGGAGATAGATCTTTGTATACCACCACCCAAGAATTAAAAGCAACCTTTATAACAATGTTATCTACTTGATCCCCCAATGCATTGTTCCCACCTATGATTATTTAGGGTACCATTGCATAAAATACAGTCCAGATGGATGCTGAATCTAACAATGATTGCTAACATTTTCTCTCTTTCTGGACATCCACATATGTCCATCTTTGTCCCATCTGTGAGAGCCTTGGCTGGATTCAGTCCTGTGCCATGGCTGTGAAAGGCCATAATCTTCAGCCATGTGTGATTCTAGTGAAACCTGACTCATTGACAATCTGTGGCTCTGTGATTTTGGACAAATCACTTGACTTCTCTGGTTCTTTGAGGATTTTTGAGTTCCCTTCTTGCTCCAAAAATGTGTAATTTTAAGATTCTTTCTCTTTCAAAATGTCAGCATTTTTTTTAATTTTCATTCACTTCTGTCACTCTATGAACCAAACCTTTCTAGTTATAATGTCCTGTCTGTATTTGTATTGATGACATGGTAGAATCATATCCCAATAAGATCTGCTTCTTAAGAAAAGACTAAAGAAAGAAAAGCTTCCTCAAAACTTAAAATACAAACAAAAAAACTGAAGTAAACTTCAGCCCAGTATGGCTGCAGAAGCAAGGTCCCTTTACTGAGTGACCAACCAAGGAAGAGGAGAGGCTGCGGGAAAACTTTAGGAAGGGTCCTTTAGCCCTTGCCTAAGGGCCCAACCTGGTCTCTTTCTGATAATCATGAGGAAGAAGCAAAGCTGAGAAAATAGTTTTAGTCACTTGTATGAGCTAAAAGCAGTATTTTCCTAGGAACTACGCAGTCTGCTAATTTTGCTAATAAGGAAATTTTTTTTTCTATGTATAAGCTCTTATTTTTGTCACTTATAAAATTTCTAGGCCTCAAAATTTACTCTCATTCTCAAAATTTATTATTATTTCCTGTTATGGATTGAATTGTGTCCCAAAAAGATGTGTGTTGCAAATCCTAACCTCTATGAGGGTTTTTTGTTTTGTTTTGTTTTTTTGTTATTTCAATGAAGCAAGATTAGTATATGATGTATCTTGAGTCAATCTCTTACAAGATATAAAAGGAGCAGATTAAGCAAGCAAAGACGAGGGAAGATAGATGCCAAAATATACAGAGATCTCCAAAGACCCAGGAAAAGAAGTTGAAGAGAAAAGGACTTTATCCCAGAGGCAACAGAGAAAGAAAACCTTGCCCTAAATTTGGACTTCTAGCCTCCTAAAATGTGAAAAAAATAAATTTGTTTGTTAGAGCCATCCTTTTATGATATTTCTGTTGTAACAGGACTAGATAACTAAGATATCTCCAGAACATATTTTCTAACATATTTTATACCTAATTAATGCTGAAGAGGGCTCTTTAGGGTGATGCTTGGAAAACAAGAGCTGTTTACAAGATTGGCTTGATTTTTATCAATGCCTAAGAGGACAATGGTAGGTCAGTGGTGGAATTTTCACCTTTTATGTGGCAGACCCAGGGTCAATTCCCAGCCAGTGCACCTCAAGCACAGCCCCAGCCATCTGCCAGTGAAGACTTGTATATCGCTAGAGTACTGAAAGGTTTCAGTGGAGTTTCCAGACTAAGACAGACTAGGAAGAAAATTCTGGCAATCTACTTCTGAAATCAGCCATTAGAAATCAGATGGATCACAATGGTTCAGTTCTGTTGTACACGGGATCGCCACATTAGGGGCTATTTGATAGTAGCTAATCCACCAGCCACTCCTCAGAAAGAAGGTTGGGCAATCTACTTCCGTAATGATACTGCCTCGGAAATCCAAGGAGGGATCGCTGTGAGTCGGGTCCGACTCAACGGCACATAACAACAACAATAACTACTACTACAACAATGATATGAACATCTCAAATCATCTGACCAATAAGCAGTAGCTCTTCTCCCTCCAGGTTTCCCTGGAGAAAAAAGAAAAGGTAATATGGGTAGAGTTCCTTACATTTCTGCTGAGCTCTGAGTATATTGGTTGATTTGGGCAGCTACTATGTTGGGGAGCTCTGGTAGCATAGTGGCTAAGACACTTGCCTGCTAACCAGACGGCTGGCGGTTCAAACTCACCAGCCACTCCTTGGAAGGAAGGTTGGGCAATCCTACTTCTGTAGTGATACTGCCTCAGAAACCCAAGGAGTGGTCGCTATGAGTCGGAGCCGACTCGGCACATAACAACAATGTGTCTGCCTCTTTTGTTTCTCCTCAGAGGCTGATCTTTTGCAAGATTCTTGTCTCCTATCCTTCACTGTACCATCAAAGTGGCTCCTAAAGTGGCCAACACTTCTTTCTGTGATCTTGACCCTGCTGGTCAGTGTGGCAACTTTTCCAGTGACTGCTGTGGCCTGTCAGCCAAGTCCCACCCCACCCCACGCCCTATGCAGAGAAGTGGCCTCTTTCCCTTGCGGGTTAATGGCAGACACTGGGCCCAGACAGGGTTCTTCACTTTCCTTCCCTGGCTCCAGAAATCTCTCCCAGTTGCAGGCTCTGGTTCCTTGAATTTCCAAAGATAAATAAATAGTGATTGCAAATGGAGGAAGAGAGAAGAGGAATGGACTTTCCCAGCAGGAGCCCTTGACAGGCCTGCAGGCAGGCAGGAGGGCTGAGATTACATTCCTCAGAAAGGATCTGAGAATGGGAGTCGCACCAGGGCCACAGCCCACAGGCAGGGATCTGCCCCTCCAATTCTCCCATTCACAGGCGAGGAAAACTTCTCAGAGAGGTCAAGCCTCTAGCCTGAGTCACACAGCTTTCTGTGATCTCCTTTACTGAATTAAGACACTCAAGGTCTAGAAAGGAATTCTAACTTAATACCGGCTTTGATGTAGAATAGAGGTCAAATGACATTTAGTGAAGCAAATGCTTCCCCACCAGTCAGAATGATATGCTTGGTGGAGACATTTTACAAAACTCTCTTGTCAATCATTACCTTTTGCGTCTATGCCCACCTAAATGAGACAGAGACTATGTTACCATTTTATAGATATGGATGAGGAAACTGAGTTACTGAGACCTGGAATCACCCTTTGAGTCCTTTTTAAAGTGTTTTCTCTGAGTCAGTCAAAGCCTGTTATATAGAAAGATCCCTGGTTATCTGTCCTCAGCTGGGACGGAGTGAATGAGTTGCCTAGGTCAAAATCTTTTGTGCCTTTGTTGGGTACTAGGAGGTTTGTTTTAGATGCGAAGATGACTCAATTTAGTTCCTGACCTCAGGGACTCTGGATAGAGATACTGTGTGATACTGATACTATGTGACAAGCCCTTTAATGGAGTTAGGGAAGGGGCCCTGGTGGTACAGTGGTTGAGAGTTTGAACCCACCAACTGCTCCACAGGAGAAAGATGTGGAGATCTGCTTCTGTAAGGATTAAAGCCTTGGAAACTCTGTGGAGCAGTTCTCCTCTGTCCTGTAAGGTCACTAAGAGTCAGAATTGACTAATAGCAGTGGAGTGAGTGGGTAGGGATAAGGTGCTATGATACTATGCTGTGATAACAGCCATGAGGCTGAATTAATTCTAATCAGAGTGAGGGCACTTTGGTGGTGTAGTGGTTAAGGTATTTGGCTGCTAACCAAAACACTGGTGGTTCAAACCCGTAAGCTGTTCCAAGGAAGAAAGATGAGGCAGTAACCGGGTTCACGATGAGTCAGAACTGACTCGATGGCAGTGAGTTTGGTTTTTTGGTTTGGAGTAAGGGAGAAGGGTTATCTTGGTTATCTAGTGCTACCCAATATCGAGCTACCCAATAAGCACAGTAAGCGCAAGCTGATTTGTGCTTATTTACTAATCTATAGTGAATAATTTCACTTTTTTTTTTTTTTTACCACATCAAAGATTCTGCTTCCAGGTACGCTGGCATCTGTCTCTCTCCCAACCCCACAGCACCTTCCTACACAATCAAA